AGCACTACGATTCATCCATATGAGACACCGCCTACTGTTCCAGAACCCAGTACCAGTTCCGTATCCATTTCACGAAGCACACGTGTTCCTAAGACAAATGTCATATGGAAAACTAAAAACTTAGAGCTAAACGAAGACCAGGAGAGGTTCCGGGGATCTTCCAAGTTACCAAATGAAATACTAGAATTGCAGACACCTTATCAAGTATTTTCTTATTTATTTACTGATGATATTGTGGATCTCATAAGGGACGAAACAAATCTATACAGTGTGCAAAAAGATGCCAGTAGACCTATCAGCGTTACAAGCCAGGAAATAAGGCAGTTCGTTGGAATTATTTACTTCATGTCCATAATTCATCTGCCCAATGTGCGAACGTACTGGTCAGAGAAGTTTGGCTATTCCCACATTCGCGAGACCATGACTCTAAAACGGTTTGAGTTGCTGAGAGAAACCCTTCATTTCAATGATAACTCTAAAATGCTACCATATGGTGAGCCAAATTCTGATCGACTATATAAAATCAGACCGATAATTGAAAAACTGAACTGTAACTTTGCCAAAGTGCCCTTTGAACAACATTTGTCCGTTGACGAACAAATGTGTTCAACCAAAGCGCGATGTGGTCTAAGGCAATACTTGCCGGACAAACCCCACAAGTGGGGATTCAAACTTTTTGTGATTTGTGGTGTGAGTGGATATGGTTACAAGTTTGAGGTTTACAGTGTCCAGGAGAATATATGCGCAGATGGCGAGCCTGAATTAGGTGCCTCATCCAATGTAGTAGTCCGACTTGCCAGAGAGATTCCTACCAATCAAAACTATAGACTATTTTTTGACAACTACTATACATCCTTACCCTTGATTGAGTTCTTATCACGATTAGTTAATATAAAAGAATTATATAATTATATAAAAGAATTGTATTTTATTGTAAATAAAAGCTATTTACTACCTCTTTCCTTCATCATTGATAATGCGAAGAATAAACTCAATTCTATAAAAAAAGAATAATCCGTAAATATGATAAAATCGTATTATTAAAACAAATATGAAATAATAAAAAATCTGTACGTACTAAAAATGTTGTGATCATAAACTCAACTCTAGTGTGTAAGCTCCCTAAGTTTCAGGTAAAGATTTGAACAAAAAAAGGGTTCTAATATACCTTTTTACAATGGCGTCGCGAAACGCACATAAGCGTCGAGGGCACACGCCGAAAACCGTGCGAACGCATATGTGAGTTTCGGGCACACAGTGAGAGCCGTTCGAACGCACATATGCATTTCGGGCACACAAAGAGGGTAAATATTGAACGCAATAGTGCGGCCGGGGCACTATAGTAATGTCTGAAAAATTTAGGCACCCTAGTAATCCGCGGAGCAGTGATCGCGTTAATAAATAAGTCAAGACTGGTCTTATCAGTTGATAAGTTCTCAAGATGCGATCAGCATCTTAATGTCGACGCTAATTAATAAACCTTTATCAACAGTATCTCAGATGATACCGCGGTTCGGATCGAGTTATCAAGATTTGTAATTTGACACTCGATGAAATCGTGATGTTAAAGACTTGTTACGTCACAGCGAACGAACTGTTACATCTTTCATTCATTGCGTTTAGTAATAGCTTTGAAGAACGATAATGTCCAACTCTGTATGCATAGGAATAAAAGTTGTTTTCCAGTTTAATTGTATTGTAATTTGAGGAAAGTAGATTACTTTTTTATATTGCGAGCGTTGCGCATATTGAATGCAATAGCGGACAGTACGGATATATTCTCGTGTACACTCAACGAGTTCACAAAGGTAGCATATGAGGTTATTGTGAATAATAACTAAGTTCCTAGGATTGGTACTTATTTGATTCTATTTATATAATTTATGTTGTTAGTAACTAGGTACATAGATTTTAAAATATAAGTACATATTTGTTATTACTAAAGTTATTTACGTTTATTAGGGATAGTTTTGTGGAAATGTATTAGCCTGTAAGTTTAATTAAGGTTCTTTGTGCTTATGTTCTTTTGTTTTTCTTTGTCTAAATTATTTTACGGTTATTACCCGGATATTGTGTTATAAGTTTACTAATAATATGTAACTGCATTTATCGTATTAGGTCTGCCTGTAATGATGAATGTAATGTTTAAATATAAATAAATAAATAATATTACATTATGATTTTACCATAAAAGAGCACCATTTACTATAAATTTACGTTAAATTTTTTGATAAACGCACATACCAGTGGTTGCGCGTCACCTCATTATAATAGATCTGTGATTCCCCTTCATGTTACTTGTTAGTACTTATCGGAAGTGTATAGTTTCGTATTTACTTCCGAGTTATTTGAAGTTACTAATTTTCGATAATGGAGTAAAAGAAACATGTCTTTAGCCCCATCGAAAAAAAAAATTCTAGATGTACTTAAAAAGTACAGTAACATTATGGAAAATAAGGATACAGACGGAGCTACATTAAAGCACAAAAATGACGCTTGGATTCGTGTTACGGCCGAATATACTGCTAGCCCACTCACGACAAAACAGGTAAGTGGCTGCTAAATACGTAATAGAATTACATACATATCATATTCATTCAACACATACTCATGTTTTTGTGCTTTATTAAAGAAGTGTTATGTATATTTATCATTCATCAGATCACACCGTACCTCGAAAGGCAGAGGTGTAGTTTCTAACGTATCAGTAAGTGTATGCATATGGTTTTTTTATATTTTAGGCAACAGTTAAACAACTACGACGCTTGTGGGTTAACACAAAGCAGCGTCAAAGTGAGGCCTTGACGAAAGAACGCCAACATAGGCTAGCTACTGGAGGAGGGCCATCTATCAGCGATGCTGTCGTTGACCCTGATGTGCCCATGGTGGCCCCAGCTCTGATTGTTGGAATCGACAATGCTATTGATTCCGATTTAGTTGAAGGTGTTAATTTGTAGTTTGTGTAGTTAAACATTGACGACTATAATAAATTTAATATTATTTTTATGCAGTCACAAATAACAGACGCCGTAGAAATAGAGGAGCATTATGTTTTAGACGATGTTTCGCAGACATCCATCATCTCCTACGATCAAGACACAGAAGATCACATTGTACTGCCTGATTCACCAATCCCTTCCACATCCCAAATGTTCCAACCCTTCATCACAACTATCCCATCAGCAAGAAAGTCACCTGCACGTTCTAACACTCGAACAGGATTAAAAAATAGTGTGATAGAACAGAAGTACAAGGATCGATCTGTGCGGGCCACAGAAAAACACAATTTAGAGATGCAGATTTTGGAAGAACAGCTAAGGAAAACCAAAGCAAAGGCAAACCATAGCTTAACTTATTTTAAAGGAAAAACAAAATTCAACGGGTTAGTTGGATAAAAATGGTATTTTTTTTTTGTTTTGTTTACATTTTGTCAGTTTTTTGTTTTGTTACAGGTCATACCACAAACAATTAATGTTTATGCACACATTTTTATAATTGTAATAAGCTAATAATTGTTTCATTCATCTCAATAATACTCAAAGTCATGGTACAATGTAAAATATTAATTACACTTTAATTCAAAAAATATATATGTCACCGGAAAATAACAAGATCCGTAAGTTTATCATTTTACTAGGAAGTTTATAAACTTTCGTAAGATTCTAAACGGGAGATAAATTGTAATATTTTACGTCCAGATTTTCGTAAATTGATAAACTTACTGAACTCACTAGTAAAATAATAAGTAAGCAGTAACCAAACGCTACGCGAGATCTGATTGGTTGGCTGTCACGTGTCACTTCTCCTGCCTCGAGGGCGTCATGAACACAGTAAAAAATAAATTAAGAAACGGACTGTGTGCATTAACACTCAATTCCATAATTATGATTACAAACCAATTAAAAATAATTAAAAAAGCTTGCCACAATTATATGTTGCCACCTGAAGTCACAAAAACAGTCAAACCGGTTAAACAAACGATATCGACCTATCCGTAGAACAGAGTCTGATGTGATCATGGAGCAAAAACGAGTTATATAGCTAGACGAGATAAGGAATACAAACTCTATAAAAGTACGTTTTTAGAATTTTCATATCTTATTTAGTTTCGGAAATATAAAATCGAATAACGTTCAATCTGACATTTGCTCCGCATAAAAACGCACGTAGTGATCAAGTGACGGAGTGCGGGGAGCGGGGGCGGCGCGGGCGCGCCGTTCGTTCGTCAGTTTGGCCGCTGTTTGTTGGAGGGAGGTTGTTTTTGTGCCACGCGCTTAGCTTTTTTCGTTTTGAAAAAAAAATATTTCTATTATAGTATTGTGCATGCAAAAACATATTTTTGGAGATGTCTCGATCGCGAAAAATGTTGGATATGCTTAATGAAGATGCAGATAGGCCTGAGCTTAGTTCACCAATTTCAAATGTTCCTGCTGTTTCTGTGAAGAAAATTGTAAATGCTGGTAATTTGACGATTTCAGTTGTATTATTTCGTGTTACACACTATTAAGTTCTAAAATTCATGAACATTTTATCTATTTTTGCTTATTTGTCTCAATAAACAGTTGCGGGCGATCGATTTCCACATAGGACGTTTTTTGACGGTTAGCTATAGAAACGCATTTTTACTGCAAAAATACGATTGGCGGAATGCATATTTACAGGGAGTTCATTCTTTCTGTTTTAATATCAGTAAAAAATATAAGTCTTATGTAAAATAGGGACGATTTTAAACGAATATTATAGAACTTCTACGCGTTTCAAGTGCATATAGGACGTTTTTCTACGGAATCTATGATACGATTGTGGGTTCGATATTATGATGGGGCTTTGTTACTGTGATAATGAAATCAGTTGGGACGTTGTTCATTTAAAAATATAGTTAAATATAATGATTTTTAATTTAAAATTTGTGAGTTAGTTGCTAGGTACATTTGTTTTTCTATGTATCATATAATAAATAGTATTTTATTTATATCTACAATATTTTTTTTTTTTAGTTGTGAATATTGGTGACAACGGTACGACCCAAGCAATGTCACCTTTGCCTCCTGGTGCAGAAGAAATTAGTCAAAAATAATTAGAAGAAGTTCTGCATGAAGATGGTGGGATCAAAGAAATTACCTACAATAATACCTAATTAGTTCAATACGGAATGACATGCCTGATCAGTCTGCCGAGGATATTTATAGCAATCATCCTAGTACATTTTCTTTGGAAGTGCCTTCTAGTTTCGAAAATTCACCATTAATACAACTTGAAGAGCTGTTAGATGTTTCTCATCACAGGTCTACCCCAGTTAATTCAGAATTATCAGTGCCAACTCCTATGCCGTCTCCTACTAATGTCCATTCAATCTGCGATAGCTCATTCTGTCCTAATCATGGAGACAATTGCTCTGTCATGTCTTCGTCTTCATTTAGCACCACAAATTCGCTTGCTACTTCGAACTCAAGTGGTCGCACCTTAACTCTTAAAACTACTAGAAAACGACAAAGATGCCCAGAAGAATGGACAAACCTTAAACGCAAATGCCTTAAGAACTTAGGTAAGAAATATGTTACAAAAAAGGGGAAAGCTGTAGACGAAAAAACGATGAGGCCATCATGCAAGTGCCGTTATAAATGCTCTGATAAAATATCTCACCAACAGCGGTTGAACTGCTTCACAAAATTTTGGCAATTGGGTGATCGAGCTAAGCAGTGGAATTTTATCATCAAATATTCCGATAAAATGAAGAAGAAAAGATGCCTGAATCAGGATACTCCTAATAATAGGAAATATACTTATAAGTATTACCTGCCACTGATTACAGGTTCTAGCGAATCGCACTGCGCGAAGGAAGAAGTATGCCAAACTATGTTTATTAATACTCTTGCCGTTTCAACTCGTATCTTGAAGACTGCATGGAAGAAGTACGACGGAAGCGCTATTGTGGAAGAGGACCGACGGGGTCGCCACGACAACCATAAGGTCGTTTTAGATGACGCCATGAAAAAAAGTGTTTGTGACCATGTTCGTGCATTTGCTCCTGTTGAGTCACATTACATACGCAAGAATAGCCAAAAACTCTTCCTAGAAGGCAACTTAAGTATTGCCAAAATGTTTAAGTGGTATCTTGAATGGTTTAATCCTGAAAAATACACCTCCAAGGCAACAACAGTGCGCCAGTACCGTGATATTGTGAACTCAAACTTCAATCTAGCTTTCCATATTCCCAAAAAGGATCAATGCGATGAATGTCACGTTTTCCGGTTGAAAAATAATCCAACGGACCAAGAAAAAGAAACTTTTCAACAACACCGGACTAATAAGAAGGTCTCAAGGAATTTAAAAAGCCAAGATAAAAAAGACGCTGAAGAATCAAATGGAAACATGGTTGCTGCTGTGTTTGATTTTGAAAAAGTATTGCAGTGTCCTCATGGCAATATTAACATATTTTATTATAAGAGAAAACTGTCTTCTTTTAATTTCACGGTTTTTGACATGGGTAAAAAGAAGGCCGTTTGCTATATGTGGGACGAATCTGTGGCAAAACGTGGCGCAAATGAGGTTGGTAGTTGCCTCTTAGATTTTGTTAAGACAAATGTTGACCAAGGGACCAAAGAATTTCGATTCTGGTCAGACAACTGTGCTGGGCAAAATCGAAACCGTTTTGTATTTTCATTGTACGTATACGCGGCAAAAAAGTTCAACATATGCCTAACACACCGGTTTTTACAAAAAGGACACAAACAAAATGAGGGGGACAGTGTCATCGAGAGAGCTTCTCAAACCAGGACTATCTACACCCCTAATGAATGGCGTTTATTAGTAAGATGGGCCAAGAATGAAGGAGAATCCTATGTTGTCCGAAACGTAACCCAGAATGACGTATTTGACTTTAAAAGCCTTGTTAATAATAAGGTTTGGATGAAAGACATTAAGGGCAAAAAGATTAACTGGAACAACATTCGAGAAGTTCATGCAGATGGTAGTGATCCTAACAAATTGTTTTTTAAATATGACCTTACTCAACCTGATTACAATATTTTAGTGATTCGCGGTAATACAAGAAACTCGGTACAAACTGAACTAAAACCTGCATATTCTAAACCAATTATGATTCCTGCTGCTAAATATAAAGACTTAATGGATATGTGCCGCTCAGAAGTGGTTCTCTTGGAGTATCATCCTTACTTTAATTCTTTGCCACATCACACCACTGTTGATGTTTCTGAAGAATCGGATGATGACCTATCAGAATAAGAAATATTTTAGATATTTTTTTATGCTTCTTGATAGGGCTGAATTATACCTCTACATACTATGACCTACTGATTTAGCAAAATAATGTTAATTGTCATAAGTACTCAATTAAGAATTTTAATTATTGTCTATTTACAATTTCACTGCTATTATTGTATGTTCACCTACGTCTAGGTATACAGGGTTACAGGAAAAGTCGTGCTAGATCCGTTAAGGGAGTAGAGTACTCATCATATCTGACTTATTTCACCATGAAACACCCTACCCTAAACTTAACCCTTTTCGAGATATTCGACTTTTAAACTTTTTATTGAAAATTGACGATTTTTAGGCTACTAAATTTAATTTTGTTTATTTTGTGTGACTTATTATTATTATTATCCCATTTCTACATGTGTAATAAGATGCTTTAGGACCTCAATCATAAAAATAGTGAATAAGTTAATTCAATACGCCGTAGTAAAAAAGAGAAAGTTAAGAAATAAAAAAAATATAGAAAGTTTATTTTTCTCTGAGGGATATCTAAAAAAAATTTTATGGCACTTGATCGGCAGATAAGTTATAAAATATCTACGTTTCATCAGCTATCCATCAAGGTATAACAATCTAGGGTTTCATTTAAATGCATTGAAAAAACTTGGTATCATAGGCGATAGTGGAGGAAAAACTTAATACTTAGCAAAAAAAAAAAGAAAATTAAAATTAATGCAAAGTATTTATTAAATAAGGTTTTTACACAACTTTTTGTTACAATTCGTGTTCAACATGACCGCCTCTGTTTCTAATACACTGTCGCATTCTTCGACGGAGACCAGTCTTCACTACTCCAGTGGTCAATGTTGTCCTCATTTGATTGGCTGCATCCACAATCCTTTCTTTTAATTCTTCCACAGACGAAACTGGATTTGACTCGCTGTAGACAAGGCTTTTCATGCGCCCCCACACATGAAAATCCATGGGGGTTAGGTCCGGACTTCTAGCTGGCCATGGCAACGGCCCACCTCGTCCTATCCATTTGTTTGGATAATTTGTGTCCAGCCAGTCTCTGCCACTTCTCCTAAAATGTGCAGGGCAGCCATCATGTTGGAACCACATGTCCCTGATCAAGTTGAGTGGCAGATCATCAAGCAAATCACTCAAGTCTCCTCTCAAAAAATTTTCGTAACTTTCCCCATTTAGATTGTCCGGGAGAAAGTAAGGTCCAATCAAATGATTGGAGATAATACCCATCCACACATTTACGCTAAATCTTCGTTGGGAACCCTTCACTCTTTTCTTATTGGGATTCCTAAGTTCTTTTGGAGCCCAGTAATGCGCGTTGTGATAATTACTTATGCCATCTTTATCAAATTTGGATTCATCTGTCCACAAGATATTTCTTAAAAAATCTGGGTCTTCTACGTCAGCATTTAGCATAAATCTGCAGAAGTCCAACCTTCTCGCGGGGTCTCCTTCTTCAATAGTGTGTACCGGCGTGTAATGGTACGGGTATAGGCCAGCAGTATGCAGTGTAAACCATACTCTCCATTGCGAAAGTCCCAGATCACGGGCAACAATATTAGTAGAAGTAGTCGGATCCGCTCGAAAGCGCTGCACTATCTCATTGTCCTGTTCGTCGTCGTCATTAATTCGTGGTCTGCCCATGTCTGTATTTCGTCTCAAAACAGAGCCAGTTTCTCGAAGTCTCCGATAAACTCTATCAAAAACAGCCACATCCGGCACACGACGACCGGGGAATCGAGCTATGTATTCGTTGCGAGCTTGCGCAGATACACAACCGCAGTATCCGTAACAAATAAGCATATCAGCATATTCCTCAGGTGTGTACGACGCCATCTTCAACACTTCCGTAGCACAAGTACAAATCGAAGTCCGGTTAACAAGCACAGTAGTCACAAATCGAAAAAAAAACAGTCCAGAATCACAGCCAAGTCGAAATAAAGAGCAAAAACGATATCACATCTACTATGTACGAAGCACAAAAGCAGACTAACAAACAAAACAATATCCCGTGATATCCCTACAATATTTTTTCTTTCATTCGCACCTACATAAACCGTCGCTTGTCTCACTCGCATGGTGCGTCATAACTTAAGGACAATAGGCGCGGTACCGTTAGGACTGCTACCTGGAGCGTCCCAAATCCTTTTTTTACACGAATTACAATACAAATCCTAGATTGTTATACCTTGTTGGATAGCTGATGAAACGTAGATATTTTATAACTTATCTGCCGATCAAGTGCCATAATATTTGTTTTAGATATCCCTCAGAGAAAAATAAACTTTCTATTTTTTTTTAAATTTCTTAACTTTCTCTTTTTTACTACGGCGTATTGAATTAACTTATTCACTATTTTAATGATTGAGGTCCTAAAGCATCTTATTACACATGTAGAAATGGAATAATAATAATAATAAGTCAAACAAAATAAACAAAATTAAATGTAGTAGCCTAAAAATCGTCAATTTTCAATAAAAAGATTAAAAGTCGAATATCTCGAAAAGGGTTAAGTTTAGGGTAGGGTGTTTCATGGTGAAATAAGTCAGAAATGACGAGTACTCCACGCCCTTAACGGATCTAGCACGACTTTTCCTGTAACCCTGTATAAGACTGACTTATAATATTATAAAGGCTGGTTAAGTTTAAGACTGCTACTTTAAGTCTGTGCTGTAATTGTGTAGAATACCTAGTTACCATTCTGTGATACGATATGCCATTTAATTAAGCAATATTTTAAGTTTTAACTATTACGCCACCAAGACAGTTTTAGATTTACGTATAGTTTAATTGTTCTTAAGTATAACCTCGATATTTCTGATTAAAAATTAAAAAGACTGAATGTTATATTGGAAAAAAAAAATTGTTGATTTTATAACTAATGCTAAGTTTAATAATTATATTTCTTCATGGGCGTCTCCTGTATTGTTCTAAAAAGTAGATCTAGTCTATAAATCTGGTTATAAGACCTAATTATAATGTGATCGCTGTTTAAAATGTCGCCATCTAATGGTTTTGTTAACTATTTTAAGATTTTTTTGAATTAATAAACAATTTTTAATAAAAAAAAAACATTTTTTATTTAGTTTGATGGGACCATCCGTCATGATATGGCTAACTTAATGTTAAGTTTTAAAATGATATGTTTAGTTTTAAGGTGGTTATTCACAAAGGACTCATAAGGGATGGGTAATTTCAACAAAAAATGATCTATGTCAATATAGAACGTCACTTAATTCAGACAGGTCCGTAAAATAATGTACCATGTTTAATACGGACCCCCACTCTTCCCCCATAAAACGTTTTATGTTGATATTGAACTCACTATCTCGTGAAATAAAAGGATAAGACATATACCCCACACAACATTTAACTAGGTTGGGGTATTGTTACAACATACCAAAAAATCTAAATGTCAAGTCTTACCGTTTAAAAGTTACATAAGTCAACAACTTCACTAACCCATACTGAAAACTATCAACCCTGCAGATCGGACTTTATTCTACGGATAAGTCGATATCATCCACACCCACACCGTCTACATCATCATCCATTGACGAAGAGATTATAGAATAGAATTGCCTGATGACATTGTGGATCTGCAAACGGATTTTCAATTGAAAAAAAAAATATTTATGTACCTACCTACGTACTAGTTAAGTAAAAACTTTATTGTGACCTGTGTAGTATTAATATAAATATTTTCTTTAAATATTGTTTTTTTAAAAACTTCATATACATAAATATCCCATCCCTATACATAACATTATATAAATATATTATATTACTAATAATAGGGTACTAAAGTAGGTCAACAATAGTTAGCCACATTTAGCCGAATTTCGAAAGTTTTTTTTTACAAAACTGGCCACTTTTTTCTTCGATGTAGCACCAAACTAGATTGTCTTAACGGCAACACTGATTACAATGGTTCTCACTATGAATATTGTCTTATTATTTATGTCGTATATATATTACATTGGTTCTCAAAGAGAATATTTTTTACAGTCTTACGCGATGACGAACTTTTAAAGAATCGGATATAGATCTCTCCGATGGTGATGAGAATGACGATACTGGTTTGGATAAACCAAGACCTGAAGAGGAAGAATCCAGTTCTTCATCATCCAGCTTTTCAGATGAGGAAGAGATTTCGCAGTCAGATGTGTCTCTCCAATCATCTGTGGCAGAAATAAGGAGCCGAGGCCGAAACTCAACTGGTCGTAGAAGAAGAACCAGAGGTACCCGCGGGTATTCACGTCAAGCTGTAGCAGGAACTCCTATCTCCGACGCATGGAATGGTCAGTTTGAACCCTTACAGCAACCATTTTACCAACCTAGTAATAAAAAAATTGAGACCGAGTCATGGACGCCTGAAGATTATTTCTCCCAATACATCAATGATGACATATTGGATAAAATGACAATGGCTACAAATAGAACTAATATACTAAGAAAAGGCTGTACCTTGGGCTTAACAGTCAAAGAACTGAAAGTCTTTTTCGGAATTCAGATGGTTATGAGTGCTATTAACTTGCCGAAAATAGCATTATTCTGGTCTCGAAAATACGGGATTGAGGTAATTAAAAAGGCTATGACACGAAATAGATATTTTAATATAAGAAATAGTCTAAAAATAGTTTTTGATACTGATATATCAGACGAAGAAAAACTAAATAATAAAATATGGGAGGTAAATCCACTTTTTCAGTGTGTTGAAATCTTTGCCTTTACCATCCAAGATAGTGGAGTTACTGAAACCATATGAAATCTCAGCTGAAGATGATTTTAAGGCGGCAACAGAAAATTAAATCGAAATTATTGAAGGTCATAGCGATAGCGACAATATAATAGAAATTCTTTCGGCCGATCAGATTGATATAATAATTGTTACCCTGACCACCATTTTTACGAATAACATACAAACAATTTAAATCAAAAAATTTCAAAAGAAATATTGTCAACCCTAAAACCATAATTACCATAGAAAACTTTAGACGCCTATAAGTTAGAGATCCTTCATTATTTGGATCTGAGGCTTCGAACACATTTTATTACCAATTACAAAGAAAAATAAAATCCAAATAATTGAAAATAAGACCATAAAAAAGTTAAATAAAAAATACTTAAATTGTAAATAAATCTTTTAAAACTCAATTAAAAAATATATATAAATCAATTAAGTAGTATTGTGTGTTTTGAGATTATTGTAGATCAGAAAAATAAAGAAGACTATTAATTTGTGAAACATTTTAAAAATTATGGATGATTTACTATTTCACTATAAAAAATAATAAAGTGGTTTTATTTCTCCTTCATGAGAAATAGGTGCACAAGTGTTCTATTAATTAATTCATAAAACATTTATGTA